TCTACCTCATCTAAGGGATCTGGAATTTCGGGCATGCCGTGCAAACGAGGAAAGCGATACGAAGCAGCTAGAAAATACTTGAACTTCTTCGGCGCCTTTGACCTACCTTCCGGGTCAGCACCTGGCACCTTCAGAGGCCCACAGACATCCGCAGACAGAGTGAACTGTGAGGGGTGAGTCACACCAACGTGGCGGCGTCCTGAGGCGGCAGTTCTGATGCACACACTACAGTCCTTCCGAAACGGTTGGTGATTATTCTTCACATGATCCCTCCAAGCCTGTTCGTCTGCCTTTGTTTTGGCAATGCGGAACCACCTAGACCAGTTTTGGATGCTCATGCTCACGGCTTGGGCAAAACCAGGGGCCCATCGAGCTGACTCATGGGACTTGCGATGCAAATGAGGCATGCCACTGCTCTCACTCTCAGGCTCTGCAGCGGCTGCCTGCACAGTGACACCACGCAAACCCTTGTCAAGGCTTAGGGTCTCTAGGTACTGCAAATCACCATAGTTCGTGCCTAAGGTCGTAGGCCTACTTATCACATGCTCTAAATCCCCCTTGTAGACATGAACTTCAAACAACCCTGCTTCATCGGCATAGGAATTCCAAAGTCCAGTATTCCAAAAACTAGGGACCTGACCAAACAAGGCATGCGAAGGAGGCACATAGCGATCAATAAGCATCGGGTGCTCAAGCAGAAAACCAACCTCAAGCCTGGTAGTTCCAGCTGGCGGCCTAACCTTGCGACCTGCAGTCGCCACAGCATGCAACCAAATCTGTCGGCAAAGCAAAGCCGTTTCACGATCAACCTTCGACCGTTGTGCTGCTGACAAATCTGGAAGGCCATATAAGTCCAATGGCCCGCGCACAGGTGGGACAACGCTACTCCCATGAGCATGTGTGTCAAACGTACCACGCGGTGGAGCACCAAGAAGATGCGACACTTTGCCATGGACGGCACCCCAAACTAGAGCGCGCCAAGCAGGAGTGCGTAGCACATCTTGGTCTGAGCCTCTGGTAATGTCCAATTCCAGGACAGCCACATTCTTGGACTCAAGGTGCGAAAAGGGTTTAGGGCCTGGGGCTCCAGCGTACAGATGAACAATCCACTCTGGGGCATTGAGCAATGCACGACGGCGACGCCGATTGAGATGCGTCAAACCCTTTAGGAGCTCCCATCCTGAAACCTGAGCAACATCCTCAACAAGTCCCTGCAAAGCTGCTTGGGGAACATCTGCCAAGAAAGGCGCGGCCTGCAACGCTAGTTGGGCTGAATTGGTAGATCCAAGGCTCACATAGTCCTGCATGTGATCCCACCAGCTCTTTGACATCAAGGCTTTGACAGCTCGGATGCGAGAGGTACCTTCGGCCACATTCGCCTCCAGAGACTTCAAGTCCTCTAGCCGCTTTTCTTCTAGCTTGCTGATTAGCACCAAGGCTTCTGATTCCATGATCTCTGGACACCCACCTTTAACCCTCAAGCGAAAGGCACGACCCGAAGGAGCAATCAAACGGCATCGCGAGGCAGTCCAATCCAAACGATACCCCAGCTGCTGGATGACAGAACCCAGCGGCACGATGGTTTGGGCACTGGATGTGGGAGGCAACAGAAGAGTACCAGCAGCAGACAAACGCATAGCCGAAGTCTCCTTTCCAGCCAGTGACACGACAACGGGTTGCGCACTAGCCCATTCAGCTTCGGAACTTGCAGCGCGAAGGGCATGAGTGGCCCCACTGTCTACCAAAGCCAAAAAACTAGGACTACCATCTACTTCCAAAACCTGCCCAGGCTCAATGGCTGTGAGATGGATGGTCTTAATGCTCGGCTTAGGCTCCTCCTGCGCTGCAGGTTTGTCTTCAATCGCCGGAGGCTGCGCGGGAGCGGCTGGGGTGGATGCAGGAGGAAAGGCTTCGGAAGAACTGGCAGCTGCAAACATCATGCGCATAAACGCTGTGAAGTCCTCCGCTCGGCCTGGGCTCGCGCCCGGCTGGATTGCAGTAGACGCCTGATCAGCCGTTGTAGGCCTGTGGCCTGCAGCATTGTTGGTGTTTCCTCCACCTGGCTGTCCTTTCCCCTTTGGGCTTCCTCCAGCTACCGGGCAGTCCTTTTGGCGGTGTGCCTCAGAGCCACATGCTAAGCACTTCTTGCTGCGCTCCTGACGAGAAAGTCCTGACATGTCGTGGCTAAACGTGCACTTAGGACCCCGCCTACACCCCGAAGTACCCATGAAAAACTTGCAGGGCTTTGAAGCCTGCGGCTGCCCACTGGCCTTTGGAGATGTTCCCGGACTGGGCGTGCCTACAGCTCGAACCTTAGGGGCACTCACACCTGTGGCCTTAGAGACTGCAAGGGCTTCCATCTCTGCAAGCAAGTGCTTGTGATACTCCAGGACTGCAGACGAAGTTGGTTGAGCATCCATTTTTAACATGGAACGAAGCATAAACGTTCGAAACTTCGCTTCTTCATGCTGCGCCAAAACTTGGCTAGTGATGGTAGTGAGGCTCTTGGACAAAATGGTCGAGTCCGGAGGTGACATGTTGCAACTTTCACAGCGATTGTACCAACGAATCCACTCACGCAAAGACTTCACGGCTGAGGAGGGATCAGATGCTGGAGTGGGCTGCATGAGATTCTTCTGAATAACCTCCTTTTCTGAACCTCCACCTGGTTGGTACGTGGTGTGCAAACGGAAAAGGATGGAAGGAGCTGATTGATTGCATTTGCGGGCCACAATGTCTGCTTTGATAGACTCGGGAACTGCCGCCATAAGCATACTACAGATCCTAAAGTTGACACGCGCCCATCGCCCTTGAAGCAACTCAGCCGGTACAACTGGCTCAACCTTTAGCCTATCCAAGGGTGATGACGAAATCCAAACCCCATAGGCCGTATCAACCACACCCAAAACCTGACGCCACCACTCTGCTGCTGTGTCCGAAACATCACCGACCAAACCCCCAATCACGACTAACCAATCTTGGTACAGAAGAGACCCTTCATCCGAAGTGAGCTCTGCCAAAGCTGGGAAACTCGAGATGCATGGCTTAACAGCTTCAGGGTTGGTGGGAGAATTGCCGCCATCGCGTTCGGCACGAGATCCCTTGAGCATCTCTGACATGGCATCTTGAAGTTGATGCATCCCAGCAATCAGTATCTCACGATCTGTGGGTCCTGATGCACTCGCGGCTCCTGCTGGCAGTGTGCCTCTGGGTTCTGCTTGTGGCCTCTGCGGTGCAGGGCTGGAAGACCGCGCACCGGAACCAAGGAGCCCTGAGAACAAACCAGCGAAGCCCTGAGGCTCGGGAGCGGAAGGAGGCGGAGGAGGAGGCGGTGAGGATGAAGAAGGGGCAAATCCAACCCCAGTGTTGGCGACAGGATGCGAACCGAACCCACTATCACCAAACCCACTAAAGCCAACCTCCCTAGTACCCACCTGCTGCAACGCCGTAGCCTCAACTTCACCAGCCTGCTGAGACCGAATCCTCGAGAGTTCGGCCTCAGCACGACCAGCTCTCTCTTGCTCAGCTCGCAGTTGCTGCTTCAACCCATCAAGCTGTCGCGCGACTTCTGCCTGAATCGCATCATGCGGAATAGATGAGGACTCGGTGTGCGGAGGCCTGTCCGGAGACCCGGACCCGTAGAGCAAGGGAGCTCTTTGCTCCATGGCAGCAAGCTGCTGCGCGTTGGCACCAGTGAACAACGGCATCGGCACTTGACACTCATCTTGCAGGACGCGGCCTCCTCTCTCGAGGGGCTGTAGTGGTCGCGACGGCCTTGGAGGAGAAGTCAGTGGACTGGGAGCCCACCCTTGCGGCAGTGGCTGTACGTTCGCCGCGCCACCAAACAGAGACTGCACTCTTCCTAGCAACTGACTAGCAAAAGCCTGAGCCCCAGTCTGCATGACCGCTGACGCCCCGTACGCCGTTGATCTGGGCGTTTCAAAGCCCTCAGCACTACTTCCAGGATTCGCTGCAGATGGGTTGTACCCTGAGACGCCTGCGGCAACATTGATCTGAGCGCTAGCCATTCCACTTTCGGTGGCCACACTGAAACCCTGAGTCACTGCAGTTGCATCTCCATGCACCCCACTCGCATCGGCGACCTCCGTGGTAGATACTGCTTCATACGTAACGCCAGCTGTGCCCAAGCCTCCAACCTGGCCTAGTGTTCCATCGCCTCCTGTCCTACCGACTGCTGAAACTCTCGGTTGACCGGCTGTTCCAACAGTTTCTTGTGGCAGCTGAGGGGATAGCACTGGACCAGCTGTGGAAGTCGATGGCCCCGACGACGCATCCATCATAGTTTGCTGGATTCCATCCCCAATAGGCTGCGCAAGCCCAGAGGGCGATGGCACTCCAACTCCGGCGGTTGTACCATTCACTGTAGTCTGCGGTGCATCCCCGCCTCCCCGCACTCCAGGCAGAGAGGCCGGAGAAGCCACCGCTCCGGTTGCTTCTGGCCCAGGCGTTGGGCTCATCACCTGTTGAAGGTGTTCACCCTGGGTGGCCATACCCTGCAGCGAAGCTCACGCAGAATGTTTTCTATGGCTGGGCGCAGAGGCGACTCACGATCTCAACGAAGCAACAAGAGAACCGACAAACCAACAAACGACCAGTACAGCTTTACAAGTTGTTGGTTACAGTACACATGGCTCAAGAGGCTTTCCTACGCAGCCTTCCCCTAAGCCAAAGGATACAGGAAACACACATGTACAAGCCTACCTGAAGGAAACTATACAAGTGCCGGCAATCCCTTCAAGCAGACTACACACCTGTCTAACCTGATACCTGGGCATGCAGTGAGAAGCATTTCAACAGTTAGGGTTCGGCAAACCCGGGAAGCCTTCGTCATCATCGGGGACTGCATCTGCGGCTGGAATGCCTCGGAGAATGGCTCTTGAAAAGTTGGGCGAAGTGACCCGCAAGACGCTCAGAAGCCCTACACTCTGAGCTCTACCCTCAGCTGAGGCTTCCTCTGGTCCACTGGGTGTCATGTAGCCTCAGCTCCGGCTGCAGTCAGCCGGAGAAAGGCCAACACCAACACCATACAAGGCCTGAAACAGCTGGAATAGGGCTTTGGGGCATTGTAGAAGAGCTTCAAAGAAGTCATAAAGCGGAAGACCAGAGCCCCAGCTGAGCCGAACACCGTGAGTCGGTGCGGCGAGATTCGGTAGCCCGCCACCTGGAAGCGCTTCTGCTTCGTTTGTTGGGAGTGGAGGAGCTGGGGAATATGGCTTCGAAGCGCTCTTGTCTTCGTGCTGGTGGCCGACCAAGTATACTTGCACAAGAACCGAATGGGCAATCCGACAATTGAACGCCAGACGGCCTTGAACTCCTGCTACCCAGAGCGGCGGCGCACCTTGCGCTCTGGTAGGAAGCTCACTCGTCTCCATGCACGGACGCTCTGACGCTCTGCGAGCCGCTAGGGCAACAGAACCCGAGTGCTTCTGGGGATCTGACACGCCTGCGGCGGCGCCTCGGGGCTTTGGTCTTTCCGTCAGAGCAGGATGCATGTTCTGTATCTTGGATCCTGAGATCTCCGGGAGCTCGGCCCATCCAGCAAAAGTGGTCGGGCCCGTCACCACGACCCGATGAGAAGGCGACGGCGAGCCTTGGGAGACTTGGGGAGACTTGAAAACTTCGGTGAGGGACCATAACACTGGACTTATTGATTGCTTAGGCATCCATCAAATGTGAAACGGTGGAAGCAACGAGCGACCCAGTCTTGGCACACCCACCAAGTGCAATTCCTCATGCACATCTAGCACAGAACATAGAGTCTGGTTTCACCGAGTCTCCATCTTCGGGACAAGAATCGAATCGGTCAGTCAAACTGTCTTCGACACTGGCAGATCAGCATGAAGCTGACGAAGTAGTCTCACACCCTTCAGTACTGGGGCCCGCCGCGCATCCCAGGCAGTGGAGACGGCGGCAGCAAATGCGGGTAGGCTTGCCTCCGGCAGCGTGCTACAGGCAAGTGCTCATCTGCTTTCTTGATGGCGATGTGTATGATGATGAAGAGGACGAGCAGGACTGGATTTGTTTCTCAATCCGCCTCACGCTGCGCGAGCAGAAGCCACTGGCCCAGCCCCGAACACCCGTCACTGGAACGAAACGCACTCGGCGAGACCGTGTGCAATCCAAAACAGATCATGACAAATGCAACGGGCTGAGCAGCTACCATCTCCTGCTTCCCTGATAAGTTCCAAAGCGAGCTGCAGCGGAGGAGATGCCATCGCCGCTTCAGTGGAGGCCTCGCTCAGCCAAGTTGATGTAACGAACGAGGGGCGTGCAAACTGAAGGCTGAGATACAGGATTTTTGAGACCTTCGCACAAATCCCAAGCTCCTCTGTCTGTCTGTCTGTCTGTCTGTCTGTGCGTCTGGCTGGCTGTCTGTCTGCATTGGTAGGCAGGTAGGTTGCATGCATGCATGCATGCATGCATGCATGCATGCATGCACGTGCGTACGCGTTGCTTTTGTGTGTATCTATATACATGTGTATATATATATATATATATAGATACATATATATACATATATATATATATACATGTATATACATATATACATGTACGCTACACCCCCCCTCCCGAAGGGAAAAAAAAACCTCGAAGCCTGTTCTTGTACTGTCGAGATGGCGCGACGCTTCCATTCCGAACGCAAAGTCTTGCATGGTGTAGTATTCTCCATCTACGACGACACAACACCCTTCGAACCAAGACAATACCACTAAGTATTGTCCGATGTCCTCTGTATGCTACGCTATTAAGCGGCGGGCTCCTCCTGATGTTCCTTTTGTAAAGCGTGATCTATAGGGTATTCTAAGTTATTGTCAATGGCATCCTAGATGGCATTCCAGAGGATATTCTATGAGGTATATTTGAGGTATGCGGAGGATATAATACATTGGCTGTCTTATGTAAGGATAGTATTCTAGAGGGGTTCAATAAAGTATTCTACAGGGTACTGCGTAAAGCATCGTACGCATTCTATAAAGTACTCTATAGGGTACTGCAGAAGGTTTTGTACAAAAGGTATTCTGTACCCTACATTTAGGAAGGTATTCTATAGTGTGTGTGTGTGTGTTGTGAAATTCTGTAAGGTGCATGGAGAAGGTATTTTAAAAGGTAGTTGTAAAGATCTCCTTCTTGGTTCCTGAGTTCTTCATAGAAATCTCTTACCCAAAAGCTGCAATTCAACTGGAATTTGTCAAATCTTGGGCTCCAGCTGGCTTTCCTTATTTGTAAACCTTATCTATCGGTACTTTGTAGGGTATTATATAAATGACTCTAGCGGATATCCTAAAAGGTACTGTATAAGCATTCTATATGGCATGCATAAGTTATACAGGATGTCTTAAATAAAGGCGGTCTTATTCAAAGTATTCTATAGGGTATTACCGATGGTATTCTGTAAGGCGTATGTAGGGTAAGTCGGTGGAACTGTGTAAAAATATTCTACAAGGTAGTTTAAAAGGTATTTGTAGGCTATGTACCGCGTGTTGTTCACAAGCGTTCTGCTCTCTGTATGTATCCGTTACTACATAAGCATCGATTTTTTAAGGAGCCCCTAAATACTAGATTCCGCATTTCTTTCATGTGAATCACGAACCGCTTACCAAATAAACACTACTGAGGAATTCTCAGATGTGGGTATACAAGGTATATAGGGAATATAGGAGTATTCTATAAGGTATTGCCGTAGTTTATATGAATTTTTTTAGTTTGTGGAAAGGGCATTTTGTGAGGGATGTTACAGGATATTTTCCTGTATTCCTCATTTTTTCATAGACGTCTGTTGCTAAAAGAGAAACTTGGGTTCCTTCTGATTTCTTCTATATAAATCCTGATCTATAGGGTTTTTGTCGGGTATCCCAAAAGGGGATTTTCAAGGATATACATAAGGTATACGCCCAGGACTCTTGAATCTTGGATCTTGGTTCGGCAGGCCCGGCTGCATTAAAACCAGCATTGAAAAAATCAAAGCTTACTGCAACCAGGCCCGTGGAACCAAGAACCAAGATGCCGAGGACTCTTAAATCTTGGATCTTGGCTCCGAAATCGTATTGATTATTGATTAAAATCAAAAAATAAAAAGTAAAATTTGATGCTTTTCGCTGCTTTCAACATCGAACATCGAAGATCCTACAGAAACTTTTTTTTACTTCCCAGGATCTTCGATGTTCAATGTTCAAAGCATCGAAAAATCAAATTTGCTGTTGTTTGACCTTTTTTCCGTATCAATGAAGCCGGGCCTGCGGAACCAAGATCCAAGATTCAAGAGTCCTGGGCATCCTGGTTCTTGGTTCTACGGGCCTGGCTGCATTAAGCTTTAATCTTTTCATGCTGGTTTTAATGCAGCCAGCCCTCTGGTGAAATCTGCCTGTAGTACTGTTCGTATACACCAATCCATGTTGCATGTGTGTGCAGGTTTTGGGAGGGGGGTGCCACATATACACGTAAAAACACGTATGTATGTATATATGGATATATAGATATAATGCATGCATGCACTATGCACGCAAGTGTTTATGTGTTCCTTCTATCTATCTGAATCTATCTTTTCATGTGTCCGTGTGTGTGCGTGTGCACATATGCATCCACGGTTCTGACTGACCTAGTGCGACTTCAACCCTTCCAAGGGAATCCCACGAGCAGGCGTCCTTACCCTGTCTGTTTCTTTGGTTGTGCTTCTTACGCCTACTGCGTTGTTCTGCTGCCGGCAGATGCTGCTGCTGCTGCTGCAGCTGCCGCCGCTGTTGCCGCGGCGATGATGGCAGTTGAATGCTGATGAGCAGGGGAGGGCGGAGGAAGACTTCTGATGTGTCAGGGCTTATCCTTCAAAAACCGTTGGCCCTGCAGGTTTAAGCCCATCAGCCGACATATGCTTGAAATTGTCCATCATGCTCCAATGACCCCAACCCTCAGCCATCCCTACCCGCCTGAGGGAATCGTGGCGTTTGGCACGTCCCAGATCAACTGTTGAGCCAAAGCTATCGCGCCAAGAGATCCACAAGCGGAGCGGCAGCAGAGGAAACAGGAAGCATCAAAACATCCGGAGAAAGACCATCAGTGGGAAAAAGGGCCTGCACAAACCAGTGGACACCGAACGAACTCAGGAACCTGTGCCATCCGGCTAGACAAGCCGCAAGAAAACCTGAAGTCTGGAAGTCCTAAAACAATCACACTCCGGCTTCCCTGAAAGCTGACCTGAGCCGGCGATACGAGCCAACGCTCACCCTGCCCAGGTGATGCGAAAAGGCAGGTGTACCTCAAGGAATATTCGAGCATTACACCAATCGTGGTTGTAGTTCTACGGTTTGGCACTCTGCCATCGTTACTCAGGGCGTTCGCCAGGAAGGATCTTGTACACAGGCACATTGGATCTCGTTTCATTGATTCAGTTACCAGTATTTTGAATCCTCAACAGCTAGGAACTCAGCAGATGTCCTTTCCGGCGTGAAAGCATGCATGGAGCACGCTGCACCAGTCGTAAAGCCGGAGCCCATGACCAGCACAGAGCAGTGATGCAAGTCCTGGGACTGTCAGATGTATTCTCGAAACTTGCGACAGTGCCCTAAACCGCAACCCCTATGTCAAGCCTAAACCCGGAACCCCAGTATGGGCTTCTCTTTAGCAAATCACAGAGGCAGCTGTGTTTCTGCCTTAGAGAGCTTGATGGAGGTTCTTGGGTCTCTCTCTGTGTCTTGGCCTTTGCATTTTGGATGTCCTTGAGTGAGAAGCGGGTTGGGGTTTAAGGCTTCGGGCCGCAGGCTTTGGAACCATCGACTTCCAAACTCATCTCCGGGGATGCCGCAGCGCAAGCCGTTGGAAGCGCCCTGCAAAGTTCACGCTTGAAAGGAAGCCTTGATCCCTTCAGGTTGTGCCCTTGGTCGTCCAACGCAAGACCTTGGTTCTGATGCCTTTGAAGGTACCATGGAGTTTCAGGATGGATCTCCTTAAGCCAGCGACGAAGAAGCAGTTGAATCGGTGCGTACATTGATGACTGCATGCGGGCACATAGCAACAACCAGTACGACCGAGCATCACTCATCCCAGAGCGGTGGCAAACAGCATTATGGGCATGACATTGACAAAGACAATCAAGTACCGCAAGGAACACCGATACGTGAGGCTGATCCTCAAGTTGAACGATGACGATGATGACGACCGTGAGTTGCGAATGTGAACGTCCCCAGCAGCACGCACAAGATCGCAATCATCAATCATCACTATCATCATCACTATCATCATCAACATCATCATCATTCGACTACCAGCATACTGGGTACCAGGAAATCATCTTGATGTTTCATGTTGAAGAAGTGCTGACAGTTACAAGAGAGCTTCGCTGGACGGCATGTATCCTACATGTTGTGTTTCACACATGTTATCATCTCAACTTACGCGTGTTCGTTCGGCAATCCAGTGCGTCGCATGGCAGGCCTGGCGCCGGAGATCTGTGGATGGACTGTGATGGAGCGGCTGGTGTCGAAAAAGAAGCCGCTCCTTTCAGAAAGCAAGGCATAGCAAGGCAACTTGCACCTTCAACATGTAGAGATGGGCTTCATTAAAAGACCTAGGGTTTGAGGCCTCAGGGGAACCTGGATTTCCTCAGGCTGCCGGCTGCTAAAGCAGAAACGACCGGGGGGGCCTTGGTTATGGGGATCTTTGCAACTGTTCATTTGTGATACGAATTACTTTGTATTACTTGGCGCGCTGTCCGTGGTGCTCATGCTGTTGGACGTCTTGTCGTTTGCGACGATGCATTTTTCACCACGGTTACTGCAAAACTGATGGTGGCAGCCAGCACTGCAGAGGCGGCCCGACTGTCCGGAAGTGCAGGAACAAGTTCAGGGCCGGCTGCTCCTGTCGTGGAAAGCAGGGTTCAGGGTTTCGGTTTCGGGTCTTGGGTTGAGGGTTTAGGCTGCTGGGCTTCTGGGTGTTTAGGGAGGGCACATGACAAACGCACATGCCGCGGCTACTCTTGATGATAGACACTTGCCTGCTCGCTCCAGGGAACAATGTCCTGGATGCCAGACCTAGGGCAAAGGGCATAATGTCTTCCAAGCCTGTCGGCTTGCTGTGGAAACGAACAGCTTTCCATCGACAGCCGGGGGCCCCTGCGACACCTCGAACCTGCAGACGAAGGAGTTCGTCCCGTTGGCGTTGGCACCCAAGTAGGTCACAAGGCCTTGATCGGATGGCCAACAGGGCTTTGGGCGTGGGTGTCTAGGATTACCTTAGGTTAAAGCACTAAGCCTACAATCAGACACTCTAGATCCTAATCCGCTCATAGAAACGCGGAGTTGAACTGCTCAAGCGGCGCCTCATCAGCCAGAGGTCTATAACACAGCACAAAGATGATGGAGAAGTGCTGGACCTACTACCGCTACTACCAAACGCAAGAGGTTCTGTTGTCATGCAATGATGTGAAGTCTACAACAACTCCATGCCCGCACAATGCTTTTTGCTATGCTACTGCTGCTGCGAGGAGTTTTCGGGGGCCTCTTGGGTCGGTGTCAAGCCAGATTTCTTCGAAGCTCTGCTGTGAAAATGAGGCACCGGCCATCTGCGAAGGTGCGCGATCCTTTGAGAACTCCAGGAGGGACCGGTCCCGACCTACGTGTGTGCCATGCGCCCGCAGTGCACAGACTGCGGCTTTCTAACCTGTCCTCGTGAGACGGCACCCGTCCACTGCTTTTCCGACCAGCTCGGAAGGCTGATCCTCCGCAGATAAGCACGTTCGTCATTCCGAGAGCGCAAAACGGTTCCGTTCCTTCCATACTCCATACCCTTGCAGGTCTTGCACGCTCTTTAATGCACCTTGCGACGGTCTGTGCAAATGTTCGATGCGGCCTTCAAAAAAAACGAAGGCGGAAAAGCTTCCCTTAAGGAAGGATGCAAACAACTATGTACGCGACAAACTTCGCATGCAAATTACTGCGATCCAAACCTGTTGAACTTTGGAAGAGCTGCAGCTCTCCTGCAGCTTTCAGAATGATTCGGAAATGATGGGGCCGAAGTTCAAATCCTCAAGCTTTGAGCAGCTATGGCCTCGGAGCTTTGGTGCGCCTGAGGCGGGTCGAAGAGCCTTCAGCAATTCTGGACCAGCCCCCAGCTCCTCCGCAAGGTCCAAGGGCAGCTTCCCATGGCAGTTGCTGAGGTCTGTGTTGGCTCCGGCCTGGAGCAGGGCATGTGTTGCGTCGAAGGTGCCGGCCAATATACTGAACATCAAGGGGGTGGCGCCACGGTGGTGGAATGCCAGCTTCCGCAGCTTGGACGAGAACCCCATGCTGTGTGCCAAGCTGAGAGCTCTGAGCAGGGTCCACCAGCCATAGGTCTTCGTCCGAAAGAAGTCACATTTTTCATTCACATCTGCACGACCCTGCAACAACATGGAAATGGCCTGACTCGATCCCTCTCCCAAGAGAAGGCTAAAGTGGAGGCTGTGCTCCAGCTTCTGACCTCAGAGCTGAAGGATAGGGGCTCTAAAGGATTCTAGAAAACACACAGGAGACTTGATAAAGCCAGCGCCAGGGAGCCCGGAGCGAGACGCAGCATGGCCTCCATGGACTTCACGGATCCCATGCAGCAACCGGCCTGAAACGGAGTGCATCCCATGACGTTCTGGATGGTGTGATCTGCTCCGGCGTCTAGAAGCAAGGCAATTCCCTCGACGTTGTTGCCACAGCAGGCCCACTCTAGAGCCGTTTGCTTTAGCGCAGACTGTGCATCAGGATGAGCACGTGCTGCCAGCAGTAGCTTCAGAGCTTCATTCCGGTTGTACCAAGCACAGAGGCTAACGACGGAAGTGTTCTTCTGAACGAAAGCTTGCGGATCCTTCTTTGTGATTTTGTCGTTCGGATCAGCTTTGCGCTTAAGAAGCGCGGAGACGATGAGGGCGCTGCCATTCATGGCTGCATAGCACAGGGGGGTCCACCCTGCGTTGTCCCTCTGGGAAATGTACTCGAAGCCATTCTGGTGCATAAAGTTTGAAAGCATAAACTCTTCCGGGTCCTCATCCGGATTCACCTTCGGTTCGAAACCTGGTATAGCAAGATCAATGGGGTCGGTGTCCAGACCCTGTAGGCGCCCTTCTTGCTGATTCAGGATGAGGCGGTACATGTGCAAGTCACCTTGTGCCAAGCAGTGCGAAAGCTTGTTCCAAACTAGCTGCACCATGATGCTGGCCAACTTCTGCCGGTCCGCATCCACAGTCAACTGGCCTTCGCCAGGAGGGAGTAGGAAACCCAGCTGTTGGTTCACAAGAGTCTGATGAGTCGGGCTCTCCACCGCAAAGGTGACTCCACTGCTGCAGGCCAATTCGCGGGCTACGCGCTCTGCGCGACACCAAGCCCGCTCGGTATAAGTCTTGGCACTTAGTATCTGCTTCGACTCATCCTCTTGTGCAGGACATAGGATCACGAAATACGCGCATCTAGCGACATAGGAAGGGATGCTATTAATCGCGCGCATTTGGTCGCAATTCTCTCCGTCACAGCACTCCTGTGGACAGCTGCAGTAGTCATACCAAACAAACAGAGGTGTGTCCCGCAGTTCAGTTGCCGACGGGGCAACTACGGAGCCAAACACGATTTCGGTGATGATTGGTGTGGAGATGCTCGATGCACCAGATAGGAGGTTCTTAAAAGCCACCTGGAGGACGTGGAGCTGCCGACCGTCTGGATCTGGATGGTCCCGGCCCCGCCACTGATGGGATATGAAAATCGCCTTGCCCAAACGCTCATCAAACACGACGATGATGCCTTCTGCCTTGAGTTGTTCGAGGGGTCGGACTTTGCTCATGCGCATGAGCGCATCCAGCGGAACTGTATACATCGGAAAAAAGCCAGGCGCACTGAAGGCCTCGTCATGCGCGTTCTTCTGCACTGAAGCTGCATACAACTCCAGCGCGGTGCGAGGTCTTCCAGCCAAGCATGAGTGCGCCATTGCACATTTCACCCTACTGCCTCTGGAACCAGAACAGCTGCAGGTGCACATAGTTGAATCGCGCTAGATTAAGCCAAGAACTCAGACATGGGAGCATGTATGTTCCTGCCCATCCTGGCAAGTCTACGGCCCTCATCCCCCCAGACCGAGCCATGCATGAAGCTCCTCCCAGGCAATCATCGAAAGCCCCAAGCTCAGCAACACCAGCTCGACCTCGGGCCATGCTTGTAAAAAGCTGAACTGCTATAGGGGCCCAAAAAAAAAAACAATACTGTTTTGGGGGTTCCTTATTATAGCTATATACTATTAGGGGCCCCAAAACCCTATTCTAATTACTAAGACCCCTATATTATGCACCTGGAGTCCACCGTCAGCTCCAGCCGTCCTCGAGCTTGACGGGAAGGTGTATCCGCCTATCCGCCTTCCTGCCACCCCTCCTACGGCTACGAGCACTACAGTCCTGCCACTGTTCCAACACTACCACCATTATTGCTACCGCTATGGCTCCCTGCTGCCACTACCAGCACCACGAGTAGCAGGATCCGGAGTCGTTCAATTATCATCGATAGCATCAACTGTTGCTACTTGTACTACTAGAGCTAGAGCCATGGTTCTTACTGTCGCCGTTGTCAGTCTAAGCACTTGGCTTTCCATCGCTGTCACTAATATGTCATTGTTCGTTCATCTCTTGTTCCGTTCTCTGGTCAGCGTTGTCATTACTACCGAGATAGTTGTGTTCATCATTACTTCTGCCGTTCTTCGGATGTGTTTGTCTGCGTTCAGTTGCATTTCGATGAAGGTATACTTCCGTTGAGGCAAGACGGAAAAACCCTGTCCAGGCTCGTAGTCCTGTCGGGATCCGGGTCTGGACTCAAACGGCTACCGGTTTGGGCTTTAGCCCCAAGCTGCCGAATCCCAGATTCAAAACTCAGGCGTGGTCACTGGTCGGCCGGTGGTTCAGACTGTCTCGGAAGCCTCGCGTGGATTTGGAGGTTGGAGGTTGGGATTCATGCAAAACTTGTGGTAAAGCACGACATTCACCCTCTGTGCCATCGAAGGTGGCCAAGCAAACCAAACCAACTCTTTGGAAGGTTTAGGGCCAAACTCAATAAGTACCGACAGGGTTCATATGGAAACTGACCAGATCAACGCGCGTGCTATTCTCGGCTTGCGCCATAGAAGTCGCAGGGCGTAAGCTTGAGGGCTTAGGGCTGCTCAGGGCGTTTTACGGCTGTTGAGGGCCTAGGCTTCCAAGAGGTAAGTCCCGCACGTATCAAATCCGGCGCGTCCACGTGGAGATCCGCGACCTGTTACCGCAGGAGAGAACTTTTCGGTTTAGACTCAATAAGGTGGGATCGAAGTTCCACAAGTAGAAAGACTATGAGTTATGAGTATCTAATTCGGGACTCCCTGGTCACGTCTCAAGGCGAGGAAACCTGCATGCTGGAATCAAGAGGTCAATAGTAGACTAGGGCAGCACACTGGCAGCACACAGAACTTGGCCACAAGAACGTCGGATCTGTGCCAGCATGTCATCTAACGCCTACATGCTTGGCAAGGAGGACCACAGGGTTACTGCTGCTTGAGTAACAAGGGGGTGGCAGTTAGGATACAATTTCTGCATTCTTGGAATCTAGCCATACTTGTAGCCAATCCCAACTACCGCGCCAAGATCCCGGCAGACTGGGCGATCACCGACGGAGGTGGAAGGTGCTCGATGGGGATGGACACGTTCACAGGGCTGAAGCCTCGAGTTTACGAGGCTGCGAGGAAATATTGGGAGTTGAAATGCGTGGCCACGGCTTTCAGAACAGAAGGACAAACACAACCCTCAAGGGACCTCCCTGACTGCCGGCACATTGGAGCAATGGCTGGCGAAGAATGGCGCCAGACCTTATCTCAACAAACTTCAAGGTTTCAGCATCAGGCGGATACTTAGGGGGTAGATCGAGATGAGAAAGACATACCAAAAGATGTGCCACCGAAGAGCTGAGGCGGCACTCTGCATCGAAGGTTGGAGCTGTAGAAGAGCTGCTCCTGCGTTGGCTTGCTGGCAAAGGAAATTATCTGGCTTACCCTTTTCCCTGCCATCCCTCGCTCCCGGGCGGGCTCACAGAGAAACGGAGAAGGCATTCCGGTCAAAATTGTGCAAGGCCTCGGTGCAGGCTCTGCAACCGCTGAAGCATGCTCGCCCCAATCCAGGAGTCATTCTGCTAGAGAATGATGGCAGGATCCATAAGCATTGCGACCGTACGCATCAATGTTGTTCTACTTCCGTCACCGACATGTCGTCAAGGCCACGACAGCCGGACCTACCGTTTCTGCTCCAGCATACGTTCGATGTTGTGCTGGAAGTTAGCAACGTAGCTTGTGGGCATGACAGGTTGTGGGGCACACTGGGTATGGAAAGGGCGATAGCGGCCGAAGGCGATATTCACGGAAGACGCACGGGCCTTTGAAGCAACGTCAGGTTGAGTCGAGCATGACGGAGTAGCATGTTTGCATAGCAAGACGGAGCAGCAGGGTCAGATCAGAAGATTAAGGTGACAGAAGATCAGGCCTTCTGCGCATGCACGCAACTTCTCCAAAGGTCTCAAGTGGCATTGGCCTACCCCATAGTTGAAACAGTATGTTATATAACATCACACGTTTAACTGCAACGCACTCTACTGAACAAGCAGGCAAGCTCTCGCATTCTCTTTTCTGAAGGTGGGGTTCCTGCGGCTGAGCCGTTCCTGCAAAAGTCTGAGTCGCACCCTTCACCCTGCGGAGTCTGTATCTGACTGCAGGAGACTGAAGCGATGCGATCGGAACCTGTGACCGACTGTTCAAGAAGAAAGGGGAGCGATCCTATGGACCGGCTGTCACGCCCCTCTGTCGGTGCTTGCCCATTGACCGTCTATAAGTCCGTCTGCGACAGACTGGCATGTAAGGCATGCCTGCACCTTCGAAAAGTCTACCATGGCTGTGATCTGTAGTCCAGCAAAGACTGTGCGGCCGCAGAGGAGCCTATCCTGGCCCACACGGCTGACATGCACGACTCCACTGCGCACGTTTGTCAAAAATTGAAAGTCACTGCTACTGGCTACCAAGGCTAGGCTGTGGCTGACGCTCTGCAGCAACTGCACGTCTTCGGCAGAAGAGCCATCAGACTCCAGCTCCTCGTCACTGCTGCTGTCTGAAGACTGTTGCGGCGCTGCTGGTTCCAGAAGTGGCTTAGTGGGCAGAGGCTTGGGCGCGGCTGAAGAGGCTGCTGCCGCTGAGGTCGACTGTTCAGCCTGCCAACGTCCTGACCTGGTGGAGTCTGGCTTGAACTTGCCCTCTTTGACGTCCTGCAGGACCTTCGCCAGGTGTCTGAGCGGTCCTGCTAAGCTGTCCCTGCCATAGCTCATGGCACTAGAGCTCTTCCCCCTGCTGTGGTAGCCTAACAAAGTCTGGTCAGGGTCTGGGATCCCAGCCTTCATGGTCCAGCTTAGACAAGTGGCCTTGAGTCCTTGGCTGGACATCTGCAGGATGTCGTCCAGACTGCTGCCGGGCTGCTTGGACAACAAACAGCGAAGCCACTTCGACGCTGTGGCGGAGTCCATGTTGACTGGCAAAAGACTACCGTCGGCTGCGAGCTCTGGGAGAAGAGGGCTGTCTGTGAGGCTGCCTTCGCACACCAGCCCCAGATCTTGGCGCAGCTCCAGCCACCGAGCTGCCCACGGCTCTGAGCAGATGCCCTCGGCTGGTGCCACAATCGGCAGAAACATATTCCGCCTTCGACTGGATTTCGACTGCTTGGGGTTCAGGACTGAGCACTCCAAGAAAACAACGTTGCCTTCATCGTCTCTGTCTACTGTTAACTTCTTGCTGCGCTTCAAGTCGCTATGACGTGCCCTGGCATAAACCATGAAAAGAAAAGTGGACGCCAGGTAACACTCGTACTGTGACTCGTCTGCGACTGAGAAGGACTGTAACCAGCGTACCTGGTCTGTCGTCAAGGCTGGAGCCTGTCTGCTAGGCTTTTGCTGTCGAAGGCTCTGGTGCGCGATGCCTTGCACGCGCGGGCTAACCAGACTGGAGGCCGGTGTCTGCAGACCGAGGCACCCCTGACTGAAGTTCAGAGCCTGACAAAGCTGGTCTGGGGCACTACTGCTGGGCTGTTGGCTGGTAACGTGCTGACAGTAGAGAAAAACCAGTGGTTCGCTCAACGGCTCGTGCGGGAAGGCCTTCAAGCACCAAGCCGCGAACCGTTGAAGGCTGCTGATCCTATTCAGCAGGGTGTTGGTGCTCTTCTTGGCAAACCTAAGGTCCAGGTTGCCCAGTTCCACACGGCTGCTTTCGTTTGCCACCTCACTGACTGTTTCGGGCTGGAAAAAGTGCGGCACAGCCCTGAGCAACTGGCTCCACTTCGACAAGGCTGCTTGCCGTTCGGCCTGACTGTCTTGAGGCTGCCACTGCCCGAGGGCCCTGAGTCTGGGCTTGGGCGCCACTGGGGCTGAGACTTCAGCGGACTGAGTGGACTGCGTCGGCCGAGGCAGGGGCACGGCTGCTGGCTGTGCCAGCAACTGGTCTTGCAGGTCGTCTAGGAACGTCCTGTCCTCGCACACGAAGTTGAAGGCTCCTGTCTCCCAGGGCAGCTGTAGGTCTGTCCTGGTCCGTTTAACTGAACCGAAACCAAAACCACATTCCCAACTGGGGTCTACTGTTCGTCTCATAGGGAAGCGGAGGGTGGGCTGCAAAATTTTGGCACTTGAGCCAAAATGGACGTGGCGATCACAGTTAAAGTCTGATACATGTATACATGCCTTAACTGCAACGCACTCTACTGAACAAGCAGGCAAGCTCTCGCATTCTCTTTTCTGAAGGTGGGGTTCCTGCGGCTGAGCCGTTCCTGCAAAAGTCTGAGTCGCACCCTTCACCCTGCGGAGTCTGTATCTGACTGCAGGAGACTGAAGCGATGCGATCGGAACCTGTGACCGACTGTTCAAGAAGAAAGGGGAGCGATCCTATGGACCGGCTGTCACGCCCCAACTTCTTTCAATGAGCCGGTCTACTGCATCGCCTTAGGGTGACGGCTGCAGGAACTGCTGCGGGACGGCTCCTCTGGCTAAGCATCGCAACCACCCCACCTTCACTTCTCTCTCCATGGCTTGTCCGAGAAACTCAGCTGCTTCACCCCTGCTGGGCGCGTCTGCGGGGTTGCTGGCACTGGGCACTCTGGCAAACCAAGACTGGAGGAGGAACTCCTCTTCGCAACAAAGAACGGTCTGAAGAAGCCTGTAGTTCGACTCGGGGAAACCCCGTGCACTGATGAGACAGTGCCTGGCTGCGTCGTTGTCTATCCACCACGTCACCGGCCATTCCGCCATTGCTGCCCCCCACAGAGCAGCGGCTACACAGACTGCTAGCATCTCACACTGCAGGATGGGATGGCTGGTGCCTTCATGCAGCCACGTCTGGACCAAGTCTTGCGGCACAGTAGCCTGAAACCATTCTGTGATCTGTCCTGTCGGGCTGCAAAGAACGCCTCCTATGCGTCCCAGTCCTGCTTCGAAGCTGCCGTCGGTAAAGACGTTGTAGGCCTTCGTCGGTGGCCTTTTGAAGGCCCTGGGCTTGGCTGCTGGCACATGTTGCTGCACCCAGCTGAGGGCGTCTCGGAGCTGAGGTGAGAGCTGCAACTGTCTGTGCCTTCCTGGCTTGCTCCCGTGCTCCAGGATGGTGCGAAAGGCCCACCTGCCCTTCCTGCCAAATATCTGGGCATCCAGCCATCTGAGTCTACCTGCGAACGCCAGACATTCTGCAGGGGAGAAGGTCCCCGAGGCTAGAGCACGCTGGCATGTGACTGTCACTTCCTGTTTTCGGCTTTCGGTGTTGCTCACCCTGACGAAGCCTGCTGGCGTTCGCGGCAAAATGTATGCGATGCCTAGGCTGACGAAGCTCTCTGCAAAGGACTGCGCCTTGCTGCCGTCCAGAGCTGCCCTCCAGCCCAGGAGCTTTAGCAAAAGGAGAAAACAGGTTTCGACACTTTGGCTGTCCTCAGAGACTGTGACTGAAGTGTAGTCATCGAAGAACACTGTGAGAGGCAGGAGCAACAAGCTGACCGCCACGTGCCAGATTGCAAGGCTGCAGCGACTGAACCCATGGACACTGCCGGTGGCCCCAAAAGGCAGGGCTTTGAGGGCTAGCACGGCTGGAGCTGCGGCGTCTGGGTTCCATACTGCAACTTTTGCGAAAGGCAGGTCCTCGGTGGCTATGCCGAGTTGCTTGAAAGCAGTTTTTAAGTCGAATGTCCTGCCCTTCATGCCTGCGGGCTGCGCCGCTGTCCTGTGCTTGGAGAGGCAGCGACATTGTATGTGCAGCGCCAGAGCAATGGTGCTGGAGCTCGGCTGTACAACTATCTTCTCATCTGCACCGAGGCTAGAATTGACTGAGCTCACTGAGAGGTCGTCTATCGGCCTGGTTTTATCGCCTTGAACAACTGGGAATCTGCGGCCCAAGACGCAGTTCTCCGGAGCCTTGGTGTGTCCGGTCTCCAGGGTGGCCCAGCCTTGCGAGCACTCCTTGATGCTCTGTTGCCACAGCTCCCTGTCAAGGTTTGGATCAGTACTCGGTCTGCATTGGCTCCAAACTTGCTGGTTGTGACGCAGTCTGCTTTCCCAGACCTCATCTCTGTGCATGACTGGCGGCACGACCTTGGACGGCCTAGTTTCAGTGTCTGGCAACCACCCTGTGATGCGAAAACCTGCACGCATGTCTGACACTAGCTGCCTGTCTGGGAAAGCAATGCCTTGGAGGATAGTGTCAAAAAGCCTTAGGCGCTTTCCTTTGAGGATGTCCCTAAGGTGGGGCTGCAGCTGTCTGTGGTCTGCATCTTCCTGCGCTTGGAGCTCACGTGCCATGTCACACAAGGAACGCAGCCTTTCACACCGCAGTCTATGAATGTCTGAAAGCTTGCGACTGCTGAGGCTTTCCACTGTTCTATCAAGTGCTTCGGGCAATGGCGGCAAAGCACACGATGGGTGCTGGCTTGCCGCCGCAGCCTTGAGGAAATCTTCTGGTGGCACTGGCTGTCCCACAAGGGCCCACCAAATCCCTTGCTCCACAACAACCGTGACAGTGGTTGAACCCTTGGGAAAAGAGGCGTCCTGCAGGCGCACTCCTGGGACGAATTTTGTCCTGTCTGAGTCGCTGTCCAGTCTGACCCACTGCTTGCCTTGGAATGGGTCTACTGTGACGGGCGAGTGCGTGGCCTTAGGGAACAAACCTAGGGCAGCTCTTTCAGAGGCTGCAAAGCGCTGGGTGCCGTGCCAGAGACTCGGAGCCTGAATCCTGCCTGTGTCGACTAGCTCCTGCGTGACTAAGGCTGCCCAGTGCCTGCATAAGGCTGTCGGATAAGCAGCCTCGGCTGAGGTCGCCCAGACTGTGCCTGACTTGCCCCAAGGCAGGTGGGTGTGATTGAGGCCTGGGTGGCATCTGAGCGACAGGGCTACAACTGACTGGGCGCTTGACCAAAACGTGGTTGCTTTGCGCCTGGATCCGCCATACACGCAGCTATCGAATGTTCCGAAGTGGATTTTGTCCTTATGGTCTCTCCACAGGCTTTGCAGCGGTGTGCAAAGCCAGAACAAACTTGACTGCGGATTTTCCAACGACCAGCAGATGCCGGCCTCAAAGCATGCTCGAATGACTAGTGCCGTGAACTGATAGAGTTTGTTCGCTGCCTTGACTCGTTGTCTCTGTGCGAACCCCAGCGTTGGCAGCCCGTCAGGGTGCAGCGGACTGCGGAGCGGCTGTGGGGAGTCTGGACCTGCAAAGATATTTCTGGCGGCACTGCTGGTGCCACATGGTGGGGCTAAATGTACGGCTGAGATACGTCTGGAGCGAAGAAGATCAAAAACTAATTTCTGGCTCTGAGGTTGTGCCAGGTCTAGGCTGAGCCCTGCGACGCCGCTGGGCTTGACTGAATCGACTGCCAAAACTTGCAGACCAAGCCTAGCAAATGCCTTGGACATGCGGGCTGTGCCTGCAAAGAGTTCCAGAAAGAGTGTGCCCCCAGAGCCAACGGCCGCTGGAGGTGGCGGGGGCGGTTCTGCCTCCTGTTCGGCTATGGGAGGCTGCTGTCTGGTCTGTTCTTGTGCCTGCTCGTGTTCCTTAACAACCGGGCTGGCTGGCTGAATGGTCACCTCAGCTTGCTGAGGCGCCGTGTCTGAGGTGACTGCCGCGCCCTCTGGCGTCACTCCCTGTCTGAGCGGGCTGTGGTCTCGGCTGAGGTCGCAGCTTTCGGTCCCTGCCTGCACCTGGGCTGTTATGGTACCGTATGAGACTGCGGTGCCAACAGAGCTCGGCTGCTCCTGCGGCACCACGGTTGCTGGGCTTCACTTGTCACATGCAGAATACGAGTGCTCGCCATGACACTTCAAGCCCTCTGCGGCACGTCAAGCCTAGGTCTGTCTGCCAGGTCTCCTCGCTGCAGCCATGGGGCAGGCTGTGATTGAAGCAAATCGGCTGTCCCTTGAAGTTAGGGTCCAGACCCTTAAGCGCGGCTGGGACGGACGTCTGAGTTTTGTCTTTGCCTTTTCCAGCTTTGCCCTTGCCTGCCTTGCCACTCTGCCATGCCTGTTGCATGAACTTGCCCTTGCCCTTTCCTTTGCTGCCCTTCTCGCCTGGAAAAGACTGATCCCAGGTCCTCTTGAAGGGCTGCTTCTCGGGCTTCTCTGGCTTTGGAACAGGCACAAGGAAGTAGGCTACCTGCATACTGTGCTGCCAGTTTTTAATGGCGTTGTCTATGGCGTCTGCCTTGCCTGGGCCTGTGAACTCACTGCCGACTTGCTCTGCGACTCGCACCCACAGCTCTCTGTCTGCTCTAAGAAGGGCATCAATGCCTGGAGCCTCGAACTTAGGCGGGGGCGGCCTGTGCAAGTGCTCTAGCAGCGTCCTGGCATAGGCTTCATGGACCTCGAAGGTCCCAATGCCTGCCATCTCCATGGCTAGACCGCGTCTGCTTAAGGCCTGAGCCACCCTGAGCTCGGTAGACAGGTCGACCTTAAGCGGCTGAGGCTTGCTCGCCAGCCGCAGGGCTGAGTTTTCAAGCCTAAGCAGGTGTTCGTCCTTCTTGACGTTCGAAACCTCCTGCTCTCTGCAACTGCAACGGTGCAAGGGTACATGCCGCACCGACTGGTCAGATAGCATGCTGCTAAAGGCATCGACTAGCTGATGACTCGGTTCATATTGCCCAGAAATGCGGAAGCTTCCGAGCTTGGACTGCAAGGCCTGCAGACGACTGGTTCTCTCTTGGGTGGAAAGTCTGCGGGTCGGCTCTGAGCTTGGCTGCTCCAGACTACTGCGCAACTCTGCTACCACGAAGGTACCCGCCTCGAAAAGGAGCCGGTTGACTGCAGAAGCGACTGAGTCTGTGGCTGGGGGCTTCATGCTCTTCAGAAGCTTATCCAGCTTGCCACTGTCTATGGCATTGGGTGCACTGGCCACGCGAAACAGCAGCTGAGAGTAAGTCTGGATGCCGTCTGTGCTCCATGCAGTGAGGCTTTCCTCAGGAATGCCGTGCTGGGCTGCTTTTGCCCGGAAGGTGACTGTGGAGTCACTCACGGAGGCCATCCTGCGATCGCACTAAGGACACAAGTCCGAACGCGTCCGCGGAGCTAGCAATGACTCCACTTCCGACTCAATCGAGCCTCTCTGTCGGGCTGCTGCTGCTGCTGTCTGTTGCCTGCCGGACCACAAGGTCACACTGGGCACCACAAGGTCCAGAGATGAATGCTGCACCGGCCTTGAGGTCTG